TTCCTGCCCTCACTGTCTAGGGACAAGAAAGACCCTGACATCGGGCTCTCCCAGCCTAGTTTTTGTTCTTGTTTTAATTTCCAGAGGGCACATGTGTTCGCCAGAGAGGGACAGAGAAGGAAAAGAACCCCCCACTGGGGCGTGATTGTCACAATCCTTTCTCCGTTTCTCCATCCTGTCGGGATTTTGGGCACACACACATACATGCCCAGCATGTTTTTCAAGTCTCCAGGGCAGGGATTTGAACCACTATCAGCCATGTGGGATCCTGTCCCTTACTCACTAGGCCACAGGGCTGATCCATTCCCCCAGCATAGTTGCTCCATTCTGGCCCAGGTCAGGCCACCAAAGCGGCCCCTATGCTGGCCTCGTCATGGCCGATTTGGGCTCATGTATTTAGAATCAGGCGTGTGGGGAGAGAACTCACGTGCTGACCCGTGTTCCAGGTACCCAGATGTCCCAGGCACCCGGCAGACACTCTCACATACACTGTATCATTTGGTCTTCACAGCATCCCTGCGAAGGGGCTCTGTCCGCAGTTAGCAGGTGAGGAGACGAGACAGGAGTGAAGTGAGGGCTTGCTCAGGCTACGGAGCAGGTGCTGAGGTGCATTGGAGTCACGTTCTCCAATGCCCAGAATAATGCCCTTTCTGGATCCCAGGCCACTTGCAATCCCTGAAGGGCTGGAGAATGTATAAGGGACCCTTCCCATGGGTTAAGATGAGAGAGGGTTGGGGCCAGCAGATGGCATGGTGATTAAGGCGCTGAACTCTCACATAGCCAATGGTGGTTCGAGTCCTGGATGTGGTGACTTGCTTTCTTACTTTCCTTCTCTCTGTCTCTCTCTGATGAGCGTAAGTACAATATAGTAAATTAAAGAGAAAAAAAATTAAATAAGTAATTGCAAAAAAAAAAAAAAAAGACGAGAGAGGGTTAAGGGTACAAACTGCACACCCAGACCACCTTGGCTGGATATTGGCCCCACTTTCCAGCTGTGGCACCTGGGGCAGGCTGCTTGTCTTGCAGCCCTCGGTTTTCTCATGTCTAAGATGAGACCCTGTCACCTGCGGAGTGCATCAGGCTTCCCTGAGGTCATGCCCACCCACCCACCCATTAGTCACCTGGCAGGAGGTGAGCATTTCCATGCCGGGCACGGTGCTAGGGACCCTGACGTGAGCCAGTCAGGGCCCCCTCCACACACAGCTGCCATAATCCCCTATGTAGCCACACTGGAGCGAACGCCTGGCCAATGAGCAACAGCTCCCGTGGCCAAGGCTTCTCCAGCTGTGGGAAGTGGGAAGCGGGTCCATCTCCAGGTTAGGGGTGGGACCCCTCTGCCCTGCCTGGCACTGGGTGGCTTTCAGGCACGGGGGCCTGTGTGCATTAACAGAACCCTGCCCAGTACCCACTGTGGGAGGACAGCAGGGAGAGGGGACAGTGGGAGGAGGAAGAGGACGAGTAGGGTGCTTTGGGAGTCAGTCCCTTTCAGCTCGAGAGCGCCCCCCCGCCATGGCAGCAAGCTTGGCCATTTCTCTCTGACGGGGATGCCCACCATACTGGGCATTCATCCCACCTTCATTCAGCCAAGAACAGGCAACGAGGGGTAGGTAGCCTCTGCTGTGTGACCTGAGGCCATCTGCCTGCCTTCTCTGGGCTGTCCCCTGGAGCCTGGAGACCTCGGGTCCCCTGTCCAGTTCTCAGCTGAGCCATCAGCTGCCCGCATCTTCACCAAAGGCACAGCTCACGGCTGCTCCCCAGGGGGCTCTGAGGACAGAGTGGGGGACAGCGAGTCTCCCTGGCATCGAGTGACTGGACCGCCATCACACAGGGCCGTGGGTACAATGTCTGATAGCCTGCCTCCCGTGGGATGGAGGGTGGACGTCGGGCAGGAGTGACTGGGCTAGACGTGAGAGTGTGTTTGGGGGCTGAGAGGAGGCTGGGAACTGAGCCCTGAGTCGGACTCTCGCCCTCCTCCGCCCGGAAGCCCTGTCTGACTTGGGTGAACTACACCCACCTCTCTGGCTGCCGTTTCCCATCTTTGCTGGGATTTGGCTCTCCTCAGTCCCTCTTCCTCCAGGAGGGGCTTCCTGGGCTTGCCCCTGTCCTGCCTCCAGCTCAGCCAAGTGTCCAGTCTCAGCCTTGTCCCTGCCAGGAACAATGGACCAGGCAGGGCTGGTCACTCATCGGCCCCAAGCCCTGTCCCCACCCTGAGCCTAGACTATTTTCAGCCCTTGCAGATGGAGTCAGAAAAGGAGTTTCCATTCCCAGCACAATGACTCCCTTGGACCATTGTCTAGCAGCGGCATGGGGGGATCTGCCTCCCCCAGATATGCCCTGCCCCTACCCACCAGGCCTCCTCGCCCTGCTCCTCACCTCCCCACTCTGACATGGTTTCCTGGGGCTGA